GGGAGGCAGAGCCAGGTGGATCTCTGTGAGTTCGAGGCCAGCCTGGTCTACAGAGCAAGATCCAGGACAGCCAGGGCTACACACACACACACACACACACACACACACACACACACACACACACAAATTAATTAATTAATTAATTAAATAAAAAAAAAAAACCAACTGGGCAGTGGTGGCTCATGCCTTTAATCCCAGCACTCAGGAGGCAGAGGCAGGTGGATCTCTGTGAGTTCGAGGCCATCCTGGTCTACAGAGCGAGTTTCAGGACAGGCTCCAAAGCTACACAGAGAAATCCTGTCTCGAAAAACAAACAAACAAACAAACAAAAAATCCAAAACAAAACAAAACAAAACCTGTCTTGAAAAAAAAAAAAGAATGAAGAAAGAAAGGAAGAAAGGAGAAAGGTGAAGAGGTTAGAGTTCTGGACTTAACAAGAGAGAATCCTTAGACCACTCAGCCATTCTGACTGTAAGCCAGAGGAAATGCTGTGTGCAAACACTACACCCCAAAAAGCTAAGGGCTAGGGGTTGAAACTGGAAGAAATCCAGCACATCTAGGGTAACCCTTCTGCTTCTGCAACTCCAAGCACCTCCTCACCCACAGACAGACAGACGGACAGAGTTGAGATTTCCAAGCCAACAGAACTGGAGTGCAGAAATGGAATGTTTTGTTCTCCAGCACCCACATATTTTGTAGGTACACAGGAAATATTTCAGACCCAAAACTTTGGGCTGTCTGGGCCAGAGCAGAGGTGGGAAACAGGCATCTTTGAATCATCAGATTAGTAGCACATGTACCCTCGCCTTTTAACCCAGCCTGTCTCCCAGCGTAATGAGCCTTGTCATCATGATTGAGGAAGAAAATGAGGCAAGCCCAAGTTCACGGGCTCTGCCCAGGTCAGTACACCTGTGCTCCTCACCCAGAACTGCCTTCCCCGTGCCGTTCAGCAGGCCATTGCCATTTCTTCCGAACCTCACCTCTGCCAGTTGGCTTGCTCCACAGTGCCACTGTGAGACCCCGAGGTGCAAGAGTTGGGTCTCAGCCTTCTTCTGCCTTGCTACTAGGGCTCCAGGAATGCTGAGGCAGGTGTTAGGTCTTAGAGCCCTTCCAGAAGCTGTTAGCAGCCGGGTTCATGTGGATTTTATTAGTGGGCTGTTGCCCAATGAAGTGTAGAAGATTGGAGGGGAAGGGGGCATTGGCAAAGGTCAGCATGGATTACCAGAGTCAAGAACAGCCACCCCAAGGAAGGAGAGCAGAGTCACCCGGTCTTAAGCAGGCTTCCAGATGTTTCCAGTCACTGGTTCTCTGTGCAGACAGGGCAGAAGTACTAGTGAACCGATCTTGGAACGCAGCCAAGGCCCTAAATGGTTTTGTTCCTCGCCCCTTAGAGCAGCACTCTGCAAAGGAGGCCTGCTGCAGGAAGTGTGTGGAGCTCACTGTTCTCCTCCAGGCCAGCAGGGACCACATCCCACTGGTTTAATAAATGCCTGCTGGACAGTGATGCCAAACCACAGACAAGCTGCCTCCTACTAGGGGCTGGCCGGTCAGCCCCACGCTCTCGGACTGGGAGACTGGATTCTGAAAATTCTAGAACCTCATACATCAAAGTTGGAAGGGACTGAAAATGACCAGAATTTGCTGTTTATTTTTATTGCAGGGGAAGTTTATGATGCTTGGCATGGTGTCATATGCTTGTAACCCCAGCACTTCAGGGGTTGAGGCAGGAGGATTGCTGAGAGTTCAAGGCACTCCTGAGCTACAAGAAACAGAAACAAGGGCTGGAGAGATGACTCAGTGGTTAAGAGCACTGTCTGCTTTCCCAGAGGACATGGGTTTGATTCCTAGCACCCATGTGGTGGCTCACAACTGTCTGTAACTCCAGTTTCAAAGAATCTGATGTTCTCTTCTGATTGTGGCATGTGTATGGTACACAGACATGCATGTAGGCAAAATGCTCATATACATAAAATTTTTTTAATCTTTTTTTAAAGATTTATTTATTTATTATGTATACAGTGTTCTGCATATATGCAGGCCAGAAGAAGGCACCAGATTTCATTATAGGTGGTTGTGAGCCATCATGTGGTTGCTGGGAATTGAACCTCTGGAAGAACAGATGATGCTCTTAACCTCTGAGCCATCTCTCCAGCCCTAGTTTTTTAATCTTAAAAAAAGAAACAAAAGTAAAAACAGAATACAGAGTAAGGAGAAAGGGAGGAGGAGGAGGA